GGGGGCTGTGACTGTAAATCCCCCCGATTATTTTTTTTTACCCCAGGGAAGGCCCCCCTGAAACAATGCGATTGGTCCAAAGCGCGCAAATTACTGAGCGGTTAGGCATTGTGAATAGGCTAATGTGATTAAGCTCGATTAGGAACAATCAATTAAGTTTAACCAGATTCTAGATCTATTAATTTGTGACGAAAGCGAAGTTGATATTCGTGTTCAGCGCCTCAATATTTAAATCTAGATCTAGTAGAAAATAGACGGGTAGCTAAGTGTGAGACGGGAGGGAATGGAAAAGAATACCATGGCCTCGCCAAGATATATAATTATTATAATATTATTATAGGCCGGCACTATTTCTCCGAACGTTCGGGAAAATAAAGCTGAGCACTATTTCTATGAACGTTCGGGAAAATAAAGCTGGGCACTATTTCTCCGAACATTCGGGAAAATAAAGCTGGGTGCTATTTCTCCGAACACTCTGAAATCACATTCTTTCCCGCAAATTTCGGATATATATAGATCTTTAATTATATTATAGGCCTACCAAAGATTGTTCGTATACATTAAGGTTCAATCGGTCCTAAAAATGTCCACAGTAAATATTTATAAAGAAATGCTACAGTTCCAAACAGTTTTTCGCTACAGATATGACGTGTTGCCTATGAAGGGTGCTTCTCTTAAACTTAATGTGTTGTTTATTGATAGCGACTCATAGAACTATCAATCATGGCTAGATTTTTTGGCTTTTTTGGGGTCCCCGAATCGGGGAATAAAAGTCAAAAAAAAAAAAAAGAAACCGAACCTCTTTACTTTTGAAAGAAACTTCACTTATCTTTGCTTCGTCTCTTTCTCACTTGTTGTCGCCATGTTGATTTGTTGAATACGTTACAGTTATATACGATTTGTATTGCTGTTCCTCTTTTATTTTTCCCTCTTTGAGGTGTTTTATTTTGTTGGTGTGTTATTTTTTTCTTGTTATTGTTCTGATGTGTTGTTTTTCTATTAATTTTTTTTTGTTGGGGAAAAGGGGGGTGGGATGTTGTATAGTGAAACGTCATTTAATTTGATGTTCCTACCTTCATTAGATTCTAAATGTATGTATCATGTGTTAGAGCGTTCCACCAAAACCGATTACATGTACTGACACTGGTAGTGGTAGGCCCCTTGTGTGTGATTCCATAATTTACATGTAATATCCTGTACTTTATTTTGGTTGAATTACGCACATTTGGGGTTAAAACAGCCAATCGTCTTCGTACAGGTGGACACACGCCCTTATTTGTTAATTTTTGTGGTTGTTTATGGGCTGTTCTAATTTTGATTTCATCCTGTTATGAAACCTTTCTTTTTCACGTTTTTGAAAATTGAAATAGATCTAGACCCAAAAATTTGCTCCTTCCCAGACCTCCAGAATGACAGAAAGAAAGTTGTCGCCGGACTCTCGCAAGTAGGCAAAAAATCAAGAGACCGGAAGCCAGAAACCGTTGGGAGAAATTAAGATCGGCACTATTTCTCTGAACGTTCGGAGAAATAGTCACTTCGTATAATAATATATTAGACTGGCATTTTGTCCATACACTGGCAGGTTTTATTACAATTTTTTTTTTTTTGGTGCTGTTTAGACCGCACCTAAGATGTACAATATGGTCAAATCAGTCTCAGCAGTGTCTTTATCACTCAGAATATAGAATCTATATTGAGGAGCTGAATAACAACTTTCACAAAAACAAACAAACTGTCAATCACCCGACTCGCCGGCTTGAAAACAACCGTTGGCTTCGTTCGGTTGTGCCTGTCGCTTTCGCCCTCAATCTGGCTAGCCCCACGATCTACCAAACTAAACCGAACCGTGTGCCAATATGGGCACTGGGTATTTTAAGCAAACAATCACACAACATTTTTCTTTCAGTCCATTAGTCGACAATCCGAATGTGAAGTCATCATACACATCACAATAGGTTCAGTGACAAGGTAGGCCTGATATCGAGGTTTATTAGTGCTCCTCCTGTTATTGAAGTAGACTTGTCTCTGTGAACAGATAGGCCTGATATCGAGGTTTATTAGTGCACCTGTTATAATTGAAGTATTTAGACTTGTCTGTGAAGCTGTCACTTCTTCATTGTTGACAACCTTGGCCTTGATGCCTTGACTACTGTATCATCATCATCATCATCATCAACATTGCCTTTCTCACCATGGATCAGGAAATATATATATAGGCCACGAATAAACACTTTCCACCTTTCCCTATCCTGGGCTAGTCGTTCGATGTCTCTCCATGTCTTCCCACTATTCTGTACATCCATTTCCGTGACTCTTCTCCAGGTTCCACATGGTCTTCCCCTTGATCTTTTACCCTGTGGGTTCCAATCTAACATTTTCCTTGTAATGCAGCTGCTTGACTTCCTGAAAGTGTGTCCAATCCATCGCCATGACCACTGTATGTCCAACTGTAAACATAGAAATTATTTAAAATCCCCGTTCTACGTTCAATGTCATTGTGTTTTACAGTGGAACTCGGATTCAACGAGAACTCGGATTCAACAAGATGAATCAGATTCCCTGTTTTTTTCTTCTTTAAAATCAGTTATAAAAATAACCTGGATTCAAAGAGCACTTAAATCAGCCAGCTCGGATTCAACGAGGTCGCTTTCAGGGTGAACAGCCCCTGCAGACATAGCTTCGCTAATTTTTCTCCCAGAACGAACTTTATCTTTTCCCGGAAACCATCCATTGCACCTACATCGTGAACCATTATTCACTTAGCCAATTGCATGCGACCAATCAGCGGCCTTTTTTTTATACCAATACATGTGTTGTTGGCACGCGCACGTGTCTACTCTGGCGTGTGTCGGGGTGGGATGGGTGGCCTGCACACGTGTGACTGTGTGTGTGGGGGGGGGGGGGGGGGGGCACTAACGGTCCGGGCGTTGAACGTGCCTGTAATTATCTACACAAAACCTCGTGTTTGCAATAATGAACACTCGGATTCAACGAGATTTTTGGTCAGGCCCGACGACCTGGTTGAATCCGAGTTCCACTGTACTGTGAAAAAGTCTACATTTGATTAATATAGCTTAGCCTATTATGTCCTCAATAAATATGAAATGATGTGTGAAGTTTTTTATATGTAATTGTAGTTGTAGATATTTTATGTCCCCTTTTACTGACACCGTTGATAATTTAGTTTAGGAGACAGGCTGCTTCGACCCTTCATCTTTAGGGCCCAACCTGAGATGAGAGAATGCTATGTCCGTGCCGACAGACGGAGGGAGCTGACTCGATAAAGATTTTCCCCACATGGGAAATGAACTCAAATCTCTGTGTGTGACGGTGGTATAAGATGTCAAGTATAGTAATTAATTATAATGTTAAATAGTACAATATATGTATATTATGGTTCGCTAGGGCTGCAATGAGTTGCTTTAGCAAAATGCAGAACATGTTAGTGCACATCTTCGGCAAATAATACGATATGAACCGCTTCGGCAAATGGACTACTTCAGCAAATCATGGAAACACCCACTTCGGCAAACGAGTCAGGAAAGAGAGTTAAGAGTCTGAATTCGGATAATGTTTCAGTGAGAATTATTCAGTTATGTGGGTAGGTGTCTGGATTTTGCTCACCACTAGTGCGCATTCTCCTGAAAATTTAAACAGGAACAGACGCTTTTGAAAATACAATTTATATCATTAGTAACTTTCTCTTTAATATCTTAAATCATTGTGAAAATGGGCTCAGCTAGTGGTGAAAAGTTGCAGAACTTAATTAGAGACATAAAATATGAAACTGTATGTTGAAAATACTGCTTGTGGCTTTGCAGCGCTGTTAGTATGTGAGGCTGCTGAAAATGAGGTTTGTCATAATATTATGATTTTCTGATCTGAAACTTTGCTAGTGTATAAGGCAGTACATGTAACGTTAAAGACCACAGCACGTGTACATTGATCTAGACTTTATTTCAGTTTTCAAAGAAACAATGCAAGCTAATGCTTCAACTCTGTAGGTACCAAATCTAAACATGTGAAAGATAAACTGAATACTTTTTGAAGCTGTTTGGTTGAAATCTAAAATCTGATTCATGTGTTGCCAAAATTCAAGTTTTCAGGAAAATTGCCCTGGCTAGATCTAGATCTATAGATTCTGTTCATGTAAGTATCAATAAATTGATTAATTTTTTAAAAGATGTTATAGGCCTATATATGTTTTATATTATCTGGAATGTTTTTATTTTTAAATTTGTGTCCTTAGTGACTGCTGAAGGCTGTGAAGAGAGACGAGATGGCGGAAGAAACCCCCAGACTAGGGCAGTTCGACTCACCCCCTCCAGGTGAGTGCACTGGGAAAATTATGTTGTAAATGGGGGAGTGAGTGTGGGTGGAAGGGAGGGGGGGTGGGCACGGGGGTTATTGAAACATAATTTTGCTCTCATTGTTGCTGTTTTTTTATGTTTTGTTAGTGATGGCAAAAATGTGCTGGTCATAATAATGTTGCTGATGGGGTTGATGATGATGATCATGATGATGATGCTGATATAAAGGTGATGATAATGCTGTGGATGATCTTTTTGAGCTACATTGTAACCATTGGCCATTTTGTTTTAAGTTTGATCTTATTTCTGTTCCCCAGTTTCACATGAGATCCAGATAAGCGTGAATGAGGAACGTGACCTGCATGAAGCTTATAATGACTGCCACAAAAACAAAGGACACACAAACTTTACGCCTGTTCCAAACTTTGACCTAAATTCTCTACCTGAAAGTTTCCAGGACCAGGGTATTCTGGATACCATTAAACTACTTGCGAAACTGACAGTAAAGGTGGCTGTTAGAAAGATGAGTTCAAAGAGACCTAAGAAGGGAGAGAGGGGCATCCCCTCACACGGAAGTGGATGGTTGTGGAGCGCTAAGAAATGTAACTTCTACAAAGATCGTCCTTGCGTGTGCAAGACATGCAGGAGTTCCTCAGAACCTGCGATGGAGTGGGGGGAATTGAGAGCGTACACCAACAAGCATGTTGTGTTTAACGATGAAGAGGCAGACGGAGCCGAAGTAATCATGTTTTACGACAGCGAGCACGAGCGGGATAAAGTGAGAACTCTAACTGGCATTCGTGTCGAAAGCAGTGACCCAGAAGGTGACGTGTGCGAGTTTATTGCTGTCACACACGACCACGAGCTTTGGACTTACGTGGTGACTATTATTGACTATGTCTACAATACAAAGTCGGATCCACTGGAGGCGACATCGTCCGAAGAGCTAGTTGAGCAGAATTTGGTTGTTATTGTTTCCCACCCCCACGGCTGCAATAAACAGATTAGTGTTGGCAAATGTCTACAGAGATGTGTACTGCGAAATGAAGGTGAATTCCACGAGTCAGTCTTCTACGTATAAGACACCCCGACTTGTTGCGGGTGCAGTGGTTCACCGGTGTACGTGGTTGGCAGGGAAGGGCGGAGAGTCTTTCAGGCACCTCATAGGGGAGAGTTGATTGACAATCCACAACACAGTTGCAGTGGTGTTGGCTTGGAATGGAAAAAAACTGAACACAAGTATGACTCCTTGATTATAGGTTCTGGTGATGAGAAAAGTGACAGCGACGAACAAGAGACTGGTCCTGGTGAAGGGAGGGGCTTGGTGGATGACTGTAGTTTGGTGGCGACAACTTCAGAACTCGGTTCTGATTGTGGAAGCGAAATTAATGACAGTACAGATGAAATAAGACAAGGAAGCGAAATTAATGACAGTACAGATGATGTAAGACAAGGAAGTGGCATTAATGACAGTACAGATGAAGTAAGACAAGGAAGTGGCATTAATGACAGTACAGATGAAATAAGACAAGGAAGTGGCATTAATGACAGTACAGATGAAGTAAGACAAGGAAGTGGCATTAATGACAGTACAGATGAAATAAGACAAGGAAGTGGCATTAATGACAGTACAGATGAAGTAAGACAAGGAAGTGGCATTAATGACAGTACAGATGAAGTAAGACAAGGAAGTGGCATTAATGACAGTACAGATGAAATAAGACAAGGAAGTGGCATTAATGACAGTACAGATGAAGTAAGACAAGGAAGTGAAAGAAGACGAATGGAAAAGAGAAAAATAAATAAAGATGTAGGGAGCGACTGTGGCGGAAATGAGAGCTGCCCTGGTGTCAAAGAGCCAACATGTAAACAGAGTCGCTCGGAAGGTCAGTTGGTTACAAAAACAGGAACTGACACAGAGCCCTCTGGCCGTTCTAGTGGTGAACGCCCTCAAGCTGAACTGTCACCAACTTTCTCTGGAAATAATGACAGCGTCAAAGAGGAGGCGGAAGAATATATCCGGGTGACCTCTGGTAAGTGTTATAGCATCATCATGAATGGTGACGTTGAGCTTCCCAAGCCACCAGACACAATTTAGATTGAGTTTCGAAGATGGAGTAAGTGGTCCCTCTTGAGTACCTCCCAAGGAATGAACTCTGTGCTCAAACTACTCACCTTCATATGGTTGCAAAGTTTGTCTGCCAAGTGTGTAATACCTAGTGGAAGGTCGTAATTTTTGGCCGGTACCTGTAAGGACATGGAACTTCTGGGCCAGACTAAGGCAAAGTGAGTGAGGCCCAGGAGAATAAACTCACGCTGGTCAAGTGAATATCCAAATATGTCACTTTTAAGGACAAGCGGGCTAACCCAGATTTCATTTTTTTCCAAAAATCTTGACCTTCACCAAAAGTGGGCATTGCCCTACCGGGTACCTATAGGAGAAGTTTGTTTTCTTTGGTGTGTATATTTGTTTGGTTATAGAGAAAACTCTCCTTGTCTTTTAAAGAGACTGAGCAAGAGTCCAAAGACTTTAACTTCGATTCTTTCAAAACGGCATTTTTTGGGGATAGCCCCCTCGTGCTTAAAAGCGACCATATTTCAGAAATATAGTTTCGCTTTCGTGTTTAACTATCTTCTGCCTATTCGCCTTGCTTAGCTCTCAATTTGTTACTGGCGTTTGCATTTTGTCATCATTAAGCACACAAGGCACTTTGCAACATTATGCAGCAGGTCGTCACCTCAGAACTATTTTGTTTTATCCAAAGCGTACTTACGTTGTAAAGAGTTACTTTGGACAAAATAGTTATGAGATGATGAGTTGCTTGAGTTAAGAGTTCTGTGATGGGAAGTTTCTTAGTTTATCGAGCATCTTCATCTTAGAGTGCCTTAGTTTATCGAGCATCTTCATCTTTCTCCTTAGAGTGCCTTAGTTTATTGAGCATCTTCATCTTTATCCTTAGAGTGCCTTAGTTTATCGATCATCTTCATCTTTCTGCTGAGAGTGCCATAATTTATTCAGCATCTTCATCTTTCTCTTTAGAGTGCCTTAGTTTATCGAGGATCTTCATCTTTCTCCTTTGAGTGCCTTAGTTTATCAAGCATCTTCATCTTTTTCCTTAAAGTGCCTTAGTTTATCGAGCTTCCTTATCTTTTTGCTGAGAGTGCTGCTTTCCTTCAGCCTGGGTTTATCTTGACAGGCAGGATGGAAGCAGTCAGTCCTCAACTTAATAGAAAGCATTTTGCTGGGGGCGTGTAAATCTTTCACATTCACAGATTCCAAATTGAAATCATGTTTGAACATTGAAAAACCCCCCAGCTGATTTCATCAGGAGACGAACATGTTTAATTGTTGGGATAAAGAACACATTTTCGCCGCAATGTGTCGTCAACAGCTAGCCGTAGTTTAGGAAGATAAAATCAAAATATGTTCTGTTGACATTAAAAAACAACAACTGGCTAGACATGACTACCAAAACAACCTATGAAGGGTTGCTTGCATACTTTTAGTTTTCCTTCCTGTTCTCTTGCAGTTGGAAATGTTTTGTTGAGACAAATGAAATCGTTTTGGAAGTGTGCTGCTCTGACTCTTCCTGTTGGGACCAACCTGAGAGGCATGCAACGCGACCTAACAGAAAGCAGGGATTACCCCATAAAATAGTTTCACAGCATGAGGACTGAACTGAAGCTTCTTAAGTCAAAAGCAAATAGAGTAGAAACCTGATATAACAGGGATGGTGGGACCAGAGAAAAAGTTATGTTATACATGTATCAGATTATTGTTGAATCAGATATGCAAGGGATGTAAGCATTTGGGGGCTAATCCAGTTGTATTTATTCAAGGGTAGTTTCCCTTGCCACAAGTACCCATGAACAGGGGTTTTGGCCATGTGGCAGGCCTGCGCGTAACACATTACGTGTGCGTGTTTCTAGATCGAAGTCTTCAGCACACCGCAGCCCTCTCTCGCTTCATTCGCTGCCTGTGCTTGCAATGGCGTGGCTTACGTGGGTTTCTTCCATCACTGCGTCTCTCTCTCTCTCTCTCTCTCTCTCTCTCTCTCTCTCTCTCTCTCTCTCTCCACATTGTTGACGAGCCTTTGTCCCTGCTATAACCGATTGGGCTCCAATGAGGCCCTGTTATTGCCGATAACTTTTAGTAGAGACAAAGAGAGTAGGAAAAAACGGGGATTTAAAAAATCCCTGTTATTACCGAATCCCTGTTAATTACCGGGCCTGTTATATATGGTTTCCACCGTAGATCTAGATCTAGTCTCATTTTAATAGCACGCACAGAGACCAGTGTTTTGTTCTGAGCTGAAGCTGTCATTGAGGCTGGACGAATTTTTAAATGGCCAATTTGTTGGAGTTTTCATTATAAAGCGTTCCTACAACAGTACGTCTATTTTACCTGCATTTGGTTTCAGACAACTCGCCTCAGCTAAAATACAACACGTACTATGTCAAGACACCCAAACGTGAAAGAAAGAGCATTCAAGTTGTAAATTTCTTCTTCTTCTTCCTCGTTCTCGATGACAGCAGCTAGACAGTCAGTCCGATGACGCGTACAAACTGTGTAGTTCGCTTCAACAAGTTGTAAATGAGCTACAGATTTATGTTCTATTCAAATCATGTTGATAACTAAAAGTACTTTTTGTCTTTTTGTCAGCAATGCATTCAAGCCTGCAGAAATATCGATTTTGCCGCAAGGGAGATTGCCATGAGACTTTCATACCCTTAGGGGAGATTTCCGAAGATCGAATATCATCACCCTACAAAGACATCTACCCTATTATCAAACTGCTTGCCAAAATAACTGCGCACGTAACAACGTGCTACGTTTCTCCGGAGAGGACTGGACGTTTTAAAATTACGGTTGGACATAAACGTACTGGCACGGGATGGTTACAAAACCTTGACGGGTTCAGTGGAAGAGGACCCTGCCCTTGTTCAGACTGCCGTCGACAAGGCTCAAAGCCATGCCAGAAATGGAAAGGATTTGTTTTGAGGACAGCTTGTCATATGATTTATGATGACGCAGAGGCTCGTAGAACTGTAGCAAAATTCAATTTCGACAGCTACGATAGATCCAGTGTTAAAACCTTTGAGGGTGTACAGCTTATTCAGCGGGATGAGAAGGCTGATTTGAGTGACCTACTTGTAGTAACCCATGACACTGAATTTGCTGAAAAACTACGCATGGTCATCCAGCTATTTTCCAGACAACTTCATACCATGAATGTAAATCTTGCTGGTAAAATTGAGCCTCCTTACCTGGTCACAATAGTGTCTCATCCACACGGATTGAGCAAGCACATCACCATGGGCTTTACTAAGATGAGTATTGGTGGGGACACTAGTGCCGCAGACATATCAAGAGACACGCACACCCAGGAATCCTCCAGCACTTCTTCACGTAATGATCCAGGGGGTGGAAGTCAAAGTTACGTGACTGATGTCCCGACAAAACTGTTCATCAAATCGAGTCGTGTGTATACCGCAGACACCTGCCCTGGTTGTAGTGGTGCTCCTGTTCTCATCATCACTGGCCAGGGTGTCAGGTGCTGGCCTCTAACTCATGCTCGTTCCTCACGTTTTGGGAACATAAGTTCTGAACACGTAGACTTAGTCGTATAAACATATTATTTGTGCCATTTCAGAGATTGCCTATCCTGCTTATTTGTTGGTGGATGAAGATTTAAGGGTTGTTGTCTCGGATTCTGGCGTGGGTAGTCTAGGCATTAGGCTACCGGACCTACCCTTAATCGTGAGGTAGTGGGTTCGGGGGATCAAGCCACAAGCCCGAGATTGTGTTCTTGGGAGAGGCATTTTGCATGAATTTTCCTCACTTCATCCAAGCGTGTATGGGCACCTGGCCATAGACATTGAAAGATCTAGTCAGTATATATAGAGTGTTTTAGCAATTGCGAAATGGCAGCTTGCGCTGAAAGCTTCTCACCAAGTTGAGATTGTTTCAGAATGCTTTCAGGTGTGCTGAGGTAATAACATAATTGTAGATTGTTAAGCGCATAGAAAACTTGCTGTTAAGTGGGGATTGTTATCTATACACTGCTATTTATTATTATTATTACTATTATTATTGTTATATTTATATATTATTATTATTATATTGTTATTATTATTATTATTGTTATTGTTATTATTGTTATTCTCAGACTCTCTTTTACTCTCTGAACAAAAGGCATAAAAGATACTCGGAGGACGGATTGCAAATCTGCTATGTAAGACAAGTACCGTAGACATTTCCATTTCAGGAAAGTTAAAGCCACAGAAGTCAGTTGTCACATTTGCACTGCTTATTCATGCATAATATCGACAGATCGTTAATCAGCTGTTCGGGTGTTTCCGTGTTGGCCTAGTCTAAAAGCATAAAAGTTTGAACCTTTTTTTTTCTTCTTTGCAGTTTCTTAATCTGTTGTATCGGCTGCCTCATATATATGCTAGAGAAATATTTTGTGGAAATTCAGATTCTTCAATGTTAAAAAAGTATTAATTCATATATTAAAACTTTTTCTTTTTAAACCAAGGAACAAGTGTTAAAGGAATGAAATGCAGTGCAGCCTCTCAATAACGACTTCGATATATTCTATATCCTCTGCATAGCGACATGGTGCCCGCGTCCTGATTTTTTCCTTATATATAATATGTATATTATAATTAGTAATTTAAAAAACTGCCTCTCTATAACGACAATTCTGTCTAATAACGACATCTCTTTCTGGCCCCTACGATGTCGTTATAGAGAGGCTGCACTGTATGTATTTTATTTCTGTCTCCTGAAACGTTTATGTTTCTGGCCCTAGATCTAGTACATTTGAATATCTTGCTGACGGTTTACTCTTTTGTTACCCCTCGGGGAGGTGCTACTGACTGAAGTGTCCTTAGGCCATTCCCAAAAGGGGGGGGGGGGGGGGACATTAACCATGTTCTTATGCACAGTAGAATTATATAAATTGTAAATGGGCTGATTCATCAATGTCATGCTCATAACTGCCTGAACTGCGACAGGGAACTGCTGCTTTTTCATTCCTAATCCTTACTATCGTCATTTTTCCTCTACTTCTTTTTGTATGTTTGTCACACTCTTGTGACCCGCTATTTCCTGGGTGCCTTGGTAGTCGAAGCAGACTTTGTGCTGTTGAAGCCAGAGAGGTGAGCAGAGTATGTACTGATTCCCTGTTAGGACTTCTCTGTTGACATCCACTCCTTGGCGCTCATATGACCTCATGCAGTTGGTAGCGCCGTTAGAGTCTAACTAGACCTCTACTTTAACCAAACAAAACTCGTTTGTGCTCATCAACACAAACATGCTGTACCCGTGCAGTGTCGCTTCTGTCCACCAGTCATCTCGGCGGAATTAATCAGTCCTGTCAAACTTCAGATGTATTTGGTGAAAACGTTTATGACTTGAGCGTTTTTCCAAAGTGTTAGTTATTGTATTTGAATAAAAATGTTTACTCATAAATGTACAGATTGCAATTTTATATATATATATATATATATATATATATATATATAGGCCCTATATATATATTTTTTTATTTATTTATTTATTTTTTTAAATATATATATAAATATATATGAACATTTGTGAGGCAGCGTGGTGAAATCAGACGCTCGTCAAAATTATGAAATTGAAGAAACTCGCATTTTCCGCAGGTTTGGGGATTTTTTTCAAATTTGTTTTTTGTTTTGGCTCAGCACCTTTCATGCCCATTGAAGAACACATTTCTGTTTGGCTTTTACTGAAAAACATCGATTAAAGGCATAAAAGATGTACATTTTCAGTTTCCACGGATTCTCAAGCAAAAAATAACACAACATTGGCGGACTTTTTCTCGCTAATTTTACCCCTAAAACCAGGCAACCACCACCTTCTTCAATCGTCAATCTGTTGACTTATACTGAAAAAAATATTTTTCCATCAAAAGCAAGGCAAATGGACAAGCATTAAGATGATACCAATAACTCTATATGTCCCAAAATTGACGAGCGCCTGATTCCACCGCGTCGTGACACATTTTGTTGTTTGATTATGATGTTTAATGTCATGTATAGCGCGACAAAGTGCCTTGTATTATTTCCCAGATTTGTCGAAAAATATAATTGCACCTTTACCGTCACAGCCTGCTGTATCCGTGACCTTGTGACGAGCATGACGCTGGTAGTAATTTTAGGATAGCAGGGCTGGCGGTATACCGTACAGACCTACCAGGGTTTTCCTGAGGTTCTCTGTTACATGTCTAAATGATAGTCCCGACTGCCCAACGAAAAGTGGGGAGACATAGAATATCTTCAAGAGGCTAGGACAAGGTAGAGAAAGGTGGAAAGTGTGTGTCTGTGGCCTATGCGGTACCCTGATCCTGGGAGAGAAAGGCAATGATGATGATAATGCAGACTTCAACATAAGTTAAGGACAGCCTTAACAGACAGCCCTGATTTTCAAAAAATCCGAAAAAGAGACAGCAAGGAATATTTCAAAATTGTTTGCTCTGAAAGTCTTAACGGGCTACCAATGCGTATTGCAAAGCTTCCTAAAGGGGCAAAACCACCACGTGCAGCTCGGAAATCCTCGGGGAATTTAATTGTTGTCAATTTTTTGTTGTTTTTTTTATTGACTTGTGTGCGACACCACGGACATTCCTTATTTAAAATTTCTGGACATACGGTCTCGAACTGTGCTGACTTTGGTGGCAATATAAACCGCCATTTGCCCAAAATCCAGTATCGCATCTAGATAGATCTACGTGCCACCAGGACGAAAGCTGAGAGACTTTGGTCGTGCCAGAGCTATGGCATGGCTGCAGGATGGAGTTGGAGTCAGAGAAGTTGCCAGAAGGCTTGCAGTGTCACACTCTGTCAGTGTCCGCCTGAGGCTGCACCATCAAGCCACTGGATCAGTCCAAGAACGCCCACGTGCAGGTGGACCCAAGAAGACCACTCAGACTGTTTGCAAAATAGGTTAAAGTCTGTAGGACAGTATAACTGCCCTACGTCAAGGGAAATGATTCTGCCATGACAAGATGAGGGATGAGATTATATCGAGCTATTTCCCTTGATCTAAACCTCGCTGAGATAACAACAATATTATTTATAATAATAATAATAATAATAATAATAATAATAATAATAATAATAACAATACGTAATAATATTTTAACCACCTGACCCGGGTGTCTCCTGGTGACCAGCACGTGATCACATTATGTAGGTGTTATTTACGCCCGCATTGTTACAATTTAGGTAATTTAGCTGTGTCAGGGTCAACCCAGTCTGAGAGGGAGAATAATACATTGTAAATGACATTTTTATAGCGCTCAGGCTCAACCCCAGTAAAGTACACAGGATCTGAGCGCTTTACAATACAATACAACTGTAACGTAAACCATTGTGTTCTGACAAATAGAAAATCTCTCTAAATATCTGTCCCCGTGGTTTTATACACCCTGCATAATTTAGAAATATTTGATCACTTTTTGCATAATTTCTGATTATTTTCCTTTATCATTCTTTGTTAAAATTAACATAATCGCATGCTTTCACATTTTTGGGCTCAGTTTGCATAATTTCAGAATTTTTCTTGCATAAAACGACGGGGACAGAAATATTAATCTGCTAGTTAATTTAAAGACAGCAATGACGTCAGCCGACTTTTGAATGAATCAAAAGATAATTTGATCTCTCAGTAGCCTACTTGGCAAAACATTCCAGTAGAAAGACCGAGATACTCGATGCATGATTTGTCTGCGGTAAATTCCTGCTTGTGGTTGAAGGATGCATCTGATGTATGATATATATA